TTACAGAAAGTTAATTAACAAACGGAGACGTAACAATATGTTTTGTAGTCTGTAACAAGCATTAGGTTTTAGAGATCTGTATATCTCCTGAAAGCTTTCAAGCTCCAGTAAAAGAGCTCTTCTCCTTGAATACATTTATTTTGATTGTATTTGTGAAATAAATATTGTTTTCAATGTGTCAAGTCCTTTTCTTTTGGTCCCCCAGTGGGACAGCAGTAAGTCTACTGACTTGCAACGCTAAAATCTGGGATTCGATTTACCATGGTGCACACAGCTGATAGCTCAATGCGGCTTTGTTCTCAAGCAAACAAATAAACAAACGTTTTCGATTTTCTTTTTCAAATATCTATCATAGTCAGATAATTCAGATTTATTGCCACGAAGCATTATCTGTCGAACCTCCTATTATATTATAGATCCTATCCCATTCCTCGTAAAGGAAATCAGTGAACCTGAAAATACTACGAGATTTTGTTATGACCACGTCAGCGCTTTAGTAAAATTCATATGTCTTGAAATGGAATAGGCCTTGCTTATTCTCACTGAAATATAAAAGTGATCTCATATGCAGCAGGTGATGTATGAAAAATGTAATGCATGCCAGTAATTTCTTTTTACAAATAGATTAAATGAGAAGTTCGGCTTTTATCTTTGAAGACCAATACGCATGACTTTACATTATATTTTCTTATTGAGATTAGATCAATTTGAATATAAAAGTTTGTCGATATATCAAGGTTACAAATAACGAACTCATTTTAAGTACTTAACGCAAGATTAATTATAATAAAACAAGTGCAAACATCTAGATATTTATTATAAAATAAGATTTGCTGTGAAAGTTGTTTAGCAATAATATTTATAATTTTCCAACAGAATCAGTAAATAATTGAAATTTCAATAACGACGATCAATGGCTTTTTTCTTATTAAGAGGTAAATATATAATTTTTTACAATTTTCAGTATGGTTCAGTGCATTGTGTAGTATAATTTAACAGATAACTTGTTCTGCAATGCGTCATACAAATACATTTGCAGTAATAAAGACTAAAACGTAACAAACAAACATAACTGCGAGCTTGTAGTTGGATTTTTTATCAGTTAAAACTTTTGGAAAATTAAATTACACCAGTCTTGATTTAAATAAGCATAAAGAAAAAGTAAGAGAGGGCGTTATAATAAAAATAACATCAACATTTGTCAACTACAAATTTCAAGTTCAACTCTGTAACTGTAAGTTGTAATGCCGAACATTGTATGTTGTGCTAATATAATAAAATATTATTATTAATACTACCATAAACAAGTCAGAGTGTAACTAAACTAGTTCCAGACTTTCGACGTAAAGGAGACGGCTAAGGTCCAAGTGATTATTAGTATTAATTATTCCAACGTCGACTAAGCCTAGTATATTGTTATTATGATTAAGTTTTACTTGCAAATTTAAATCTAAAGTAACCAAATTTGCGTGGCAGTTCTTTGTGAAATAGCTGTGTAAACATAATTCTAACCTGGCATCAGTCAATCTTCTTTAAAAAATATAAAATGTAATACAATTTTAACTGCTGACGTATGATAATTATTGAATAGATTTCTTAAAAAAAAAAGCTTAGCTATAAGTATAACGAAGTATATTGCTATTAGTTAATGCTAAATTATTATTCTTATCAACTTAACAGATGTAAATTTACAAATAGTAATACTGTAATAGATCTAAGCCCATAATAGTTATTATACAATGATTAAATGTACTGTTTCAGTTGGAGATATGTGATGGACACAGCACAGATAGCCCATTACATAGCTTTGTGCTCAACAACAGTCAAATTCAGTGGGATAGAGTGAAATGATGTATCTATACCAGGAAAAATATGAGTGTGAAATTTAAATATACATACGAGTGTCATAATGTTATATGTTACCATTAGTAAACAATCATGAAGAGGTGATGAGCAAATACAAAGATCTGACAAAACATAATGGCTACATATAATCATCCAGAACAGTTATTTTCAAGCCATTATTTTTTATTTCAGAACTGAAGATAAAAATTATGGAAAAAGATAAAGAAACTCAGCATCCTGATAAAAAAACCACTGTCAGTGATATGGAAACTGATGCTATCAGTAATGAACCTGGAAATTCAACCATTTCTCATCAAGCAATGAGTGATAATGATGTAGTGCAGGCGAGTAACATTGACAAAGATGATCCTAACATTGGACCAAGTAAGAATGCTCCTGTTGAGAAAGAAGATGGAAAAAGACAAGTGCCTGTTAATATCCCAATATCTGCATCTTCTCCAACTGGCACTGTTATTAGTGGCATTCCAGGTAATGTTTTAAATATCAAATAAATACATTTTCATGAAAGTCTATAGTTTGTTAAAAAAAAGAAAAATGATCTATCATTCCAGATCAATAAGATCATTTCGTACCTTTTTTTATAAGAGAAAATATATTAATGACCTATCCTTGTAAGATAGCTTCTATAACATTTGCATTAACTGTATAATCAGGAAGAAGAAAAATATTTAGGCTGAAACTAATAGTGATTTTACCTTTCACTGTGCCAGAAACATTGGTTTACGTTTTTTACTCTTAATTTCATAATTTGTTTTAGCCAGATGGTACAATGACATGTGTCATTGCTAAAACAGTCTTTCATCTTTCTCAATAAGTTGGCAATAAAAAAAACTTTTCTTAAGTTACCTAAATGAAACATTACATGTATATATTAGTCTTAAGTTCTTTATATTGAACATCAAGGTTTACTGTTATTATTTTATTAAAAATTAAGCTTGTGCATCATGTTAAAACAAATTTAGAAACAGTTCATATAATGAATGTAATATTAAGAGTAAACAAAACAGACAAACCAATGTTTTCTGGAACAAAGGTAAAATCTTTATTATTAGTTACAGCCAACTAGTTTCCCTAACACTGTTACCAAAACTAGTCTTATTTCCACACATGGTTACTCTACTTAGATTTAAGGTGTTTTTTTTCCGTTTTCAGTACAAGAAATAATGTGTAAAAGTGACCTCTAAATATTCAATAGTAATAGATAAGATGTTATATGTCATTTACTATTTAGCAGAAACTGATAATCTAACCACTGTTTGTACAATTATAGTTAGCTACACGAAATGCACAGCTCAAAGCATCTACTGCTTCTAATGAACGGTAGAGCTGTTTCTGATGTTAACTCTTTCACTACTGCATTTATGTATACACAACTCTTCTAGTGCTAGTTTTATTCCAGAAGCGCAAATAGAACTTTAGAGACACACCCATTTTCTTTTCTACTTCAACTTCTTTCTCAAAACATAGATTATATCTTTGTATATTACTTTGACTATGTTAAAATATATTAAACTGATAAAGTGTGTGATTATGTTACATTTTGGAAATGTTAGCCATATTGTTAATTTTCAATCAATAGGAAACTGCTGTAATTCTAACCTAAAATAGAGGAGCACTCAGTAGAGTGCATACCTCTGCATTGATCATATTTGGCTCTCAAAAAAATATGCAAATGTGTACATATGTCCATCATTATCAATGGACACAGACTATTTTTGGCAGGATGATGAGGAATAATATTTTTTGTATGTCCACCAAGTTTCGTCAAAATCCGATTATTTTTGACTGAGTTATAGAGCAAAAATAGTGTGAAAAATTGTCCCAAGGTTAACAGGTAGGAATTTTTTGAATTTTTCCAAAAACTAATCACTTCTAAGTTGGATCATAGTCCAAATGTATACCAACTTTCATCCAAATCGAGAAATCTTGCTGACAAATGCACACACATGGGTGGAAACATAATCTTCATCCACCTACAGTGGTGGAAGTTATAAGCCAGCCATAAATGAAATGCATGCACACAGACACATATACAAGATACACAGATTTTAACATCTAACCATAAGCTATCATTTACCATAATTTAAATTATATATCAATAGTACACAATTACCATTTGAAAATAGAAATACTTATTGCAGTTTTTATGAGTAACCCAGACCACAACTTATCATAAGCTGTGCACTGATTAAAGTTTTCATGCCAAATACTTATAACTAATAACAACCAAACCATATTGGCCAATACTAATATTTATTATTAGCACAGATGAGGTACTTTAAACCACTAAAACAAATCAAAATTTAACCCATGGGTGATTTTTTTTCTGGTTGCATTTATAACAAAAATTTACAGATGTATTTCCTTGGTGCATTAGTTCAGAAATTGAATAGAAAAGAATAACAGTTATAAAAAAGTAGTCGATAAGATACATAATCTAGATATTGATGTCATGATATGATACATATCTTGATACAGAAGTTTTACCAACGGTTTGTTACAAAGTTTGACAGTCTTGTCTGTAATTCATTATCTATATTACTAACATTGTCTTATTTAAGTACTTCACACTTTACAGTGCTTTTTCAAATTCTCAGGTTTGATCAACTAAATGGCAGATGGCAAGAGAAGTAAAATAAAAAAGTTAATATCTTTCTATCTATTTTGTTATGTTACTTTGTATGTAATATTTTTGATAAAATAAATGAAGACAACATGTAGTACTCGATACTCATCTTCCTTTATTGAATCATTAATTTTTAGTAAAAATACTTTATCAGAAATTCTGATTTTTTCTGTACAAAAGAGATAATGTTTACTGAAAATTTGCCAAATTTCATGAAGATACATAAATCGTATCAGATGATGTATCGATACAATCCTTTCACGGCTTCACAATATGAAACTCCTATTGTATCACTTTATCGCCATTAGTAATTATGCTAAATTTTGTAGAGTAAATTGAATAGTTTTATGCTGACTCTTGTGAAAAAGTTAGTACTTATATTTACATGTATAAAGTTTCTACTATGAACTGACAAAAGTTACAGTTACAATTCAAAAGTTAATATATACATGTGTTTTTATTTTGCTAAGTGTTTCTAGAACCACCAATACAAGTTATTTTTAAACTCACTACTATGTATGGCATCAATTTCAGTTTTGTGTTTTTCCCATCTTGATCTGCATTGCTTGCAAACATATTTGACTATGCTTTGAAGTTAAAAGCAGTCTTTTGTTCTCTGAAATGGCAAAGTAGTAGGGGTGTGTATCTCATTATAAAGTAATAAAAGTAATAAGTTTAATTAATTTACATATTCAAGTAATAAAAAGAGAACAAACATCAAAATTATACTCATTACATTTAGTGCAGAAAGTCTGTGAGTGGAATCTTCTACACGATAAGCAACATTTCTGCTTTATTACATATCAATCGATTCATCTTGTCCACAAAATCACTTCTAAGTTGGGTCATAGTCCAAATGTATACCAACTTTCATCCAAAAGTTTTTTTTTTGTAGCACATATTTTACAATCAGTTGTTCTGTTGTTGTTTTCAGACACTAAAAAAATTTCTAAACCAAATTCTTTAGATTCATTATTTGCAGCAGGTAGTGATCACATATTACAGTAAATACATTTTTGTCTCAGTTGTTTATACATGACAATATCTATACAACAACAAACAGAAATTTTGGTGTGCATTATCAGCTAAAAGAACAAAAATGGCCATTATTTGATAATGTTATTTTACCTTTATATAAATGTAAAATGTTATTTTACCTTAAATTAGTGCCAGAAGAATAGCTTTTCTGTATATATTGGTGCACCCTTACTTATTATGTGTTAAAAAATATAACTTTCAGCAGTTACATATTTCAAACCACATTGTGGCATATATGAATGCTTAATAAGTGATATATTGCCAGAGATATGCCATACAAAAACATAACAGATTTTTAAAAACCTATTTTAACATTTACTAAAAGGATTTTAACCTGAGATGAGCATGGATTGCCAAAGTTAATCAGTTATTTGCAAGCTTGAAATATTACAGGATCTTTTGCTGAAAATTTGATATTTTTAGTGTTGCTATTTTCTCATATCATTATATCTTAAATGTGTTTTGTATTTAATGTTTTAATATGCCTGTCAGGTTTTTGTAAGGCCAGATCCTTTAGAGTAGGTGTCTGTGACTTGTTGGTGATAAATTTCAACTATAAACAAACAGCACTTTTTTATAAATGATATATTAAAAACAAATCAAACGTTTATACAAATGTTCATTACACTGTTGGTTGCCACAATTGTATTCAGAGCTTCAAATAATTGTCTCTTTTTCATCAAAATCCACACAGTCTTGTTCAGTTACTTTAGAACATAATTGAGAAAACAAATTATTATTTTTTACTCTGTTATTACAATACAGTCTGTAATAATTTCACTTTAAAAGTTGCCACTATACACTCTTTATCACTAAACTCATGATTACCCAATCTAAAACTAGAACTAAATAATGATTTTTCAATGCATATTTATACCCTGACAGAACTCTAGAACATTCCATGCAGTACTAGATATTCTGATGCAATAATACTCAATTAAACTAACAAGAAACTCAGAAAGTTCAAGCAACATGACAAATCTCACTATTGTAAATAATCATTAATTCAAAATAATTGAACTACCCAGTGCAGGATTTATAAACAGTTACATAAACAAACTTACCATAAAATATTACTTCTAAAAATAACTAAATATGACACCTGCACTATATTAACTATCTGAATCATAATTCTTGCATTAAACTTAAACAGTCATGAATATCTAACTGTGCCAAAATTTCAGTAGTGATTTACTTCTCATTCTACATTTTTGGTTTACCAAGTCTTTATCATTGAAACATATTTTTCGTAAGTTGTGTTAATGACTTTTGAATAAAGTTATATGCTCAAGTAATAGAATAAATGTCAGAGTAAGAAATTGTTACTGTAAGTTTAAAGTCATTTAATATATATATATAAAATTACACTAATAAATCAAACTAGAAAGAATATTACTAACTAGAAGTTGTTTCAAAATGTTTTTTAATTAATGACTTTTTATTTTTTTTTCAAAATTTTTTTAGGCACGTGTGTAATGTTCAGTCTTGAAAACTAAAAAGTTTTATTTAAAAAAAAAACAGTGATTATTTTATACACAATTCAATAAAATGATATTGTTTCCAGTCTCTAAATGACTAAAATAATAACTTATTGTAAGAGGTTAAAAAGTGGTAAAATTCCCGATGTGACTGGAAAACAATATCATACACTCTACATGTTTTGATGTATATCTTGCATCATCCTCAGGAGTGTAATGAGGATGATGCAAGATATACGTCGAAATATGTAGAGTGTATGAGATTGTTTGTTTATTACAAAAGTGTTTGATTTTCAGTTAAAGTTTTATTTTATTTACTGAAATTAAAGTTTATTTAAAAATTTTCAGTTAATCTTCAGTATTTTAATAAGAATATTATAAAGGACAGTTTTGAGACATTTTTAAATCTGTCATGTTGCAATATGTTTAATTCCTGTCAACGTACTGTGTCTTTACATATGTCTTATCTGAAAAGATATTTTATAAGTGTAGCTCAACAAGTAATATTTTCTTAACTAAAAATGTTGGGATTTTGTATTTAAGAATTGTTTAAGAACTTTAAGTGTTAGACTTAGAAAATTTACAATAATAGTAATACTATGAGGAGAAAATTCAGAAGTCAATGGCTAGTTTCTACACCACTAAAATAGTGTTTCATAGTGAAATCTGTTTTTATGTTAACCCTTTTTTTTAGTCATTTTTATTTTTTAATTTCAACTTACCATTACTGTTGAAAGAAATACTTAAAAAGTACCACACAAACCATTAAATCCACAGTAATAAAGTAACATGAATCATTGTCTCAGTTCATTTTCTATGCAAATGAGGAAATGAATTTAGGGTGCATGATTGGCATTTGTTATAACATTGGCTATGCTCTATCACATATATAATAATAATAACTTCTGTTTAACTTTTAACTAATTTGTGTAATATAATTGTTCTAACAATGACACTAACTTAGTGTTTGTTTCTAGAAAATAGTTTAACATTATACCAAGGAAAGGACAGTTATTTTTTAGAACTGACTGTATAGCAAAATCTCATCTTCAGGCTAAACATCCTGTTTTCCTAATCTACATAATTTGGGTTGTATGATCTAACATGATGTCTTGTGTAGCATCATCTGATTAGACACAGGACAATGAAATAACCTTTTTTCACCATTGATTAAGATTAGGGAGGAAAATGTTCCATGTTAGTTACGTTAATCAAGGTGTGCGATATGATAGCATGTATTATTGTTACCTTGTGCTTTTTAATCCTTATATAGTTGAAATTATAAATGTTAACTTTCCCAGAACAAATACAAGGATCTGAATCTCATAAGGTTTAGTATTTGAAAGGTTCTTTGAGCAATAGCAGTGAGGAAGGGTCAGAGGCAGTGGTGAAAATAAAACAGTACAGCATACCAGTAATAAATTTTGTGTCTGTATGCCATACCAGTAAATCATTTTGTTAAAGTCATTCTATCTTTTGACTTATGATAATAATTTTTACTGATATTGTTGAGTGTCATGTTACATTGCTGTAAGAAAAAGTTGAGTACATCAGACTCTACTCCCAGTAGGGTGGGTTGTATGCATGTGAGGTACTATTTTTGTTTCCATTCCAACCTAAAAAATATTCTCAACTCAAATTGAAATGGACTCTTTTTTTTTTCTGTTGAGTTTAGTATCTATTAGTATCAAAATGTATGCATTCTAGTGTTGAAGCTTTAGTTTACATAAGTTAGTAGTGTTGACTTGTACAAAGTGTGGGGGAGGGTAAACACTTCTACTGTACTGGTAAGAAATTAAAATTACTTTTACCACTGGTCAGAGGGGAACAACAACATCAAATGAAAACAAAATACCTCACTTGAAATATAAGCATTGGTAATCTTTCATACGTGCAATGCAAAGTTTTTCCAACCTCAAGTTGATGGACAATCAGCTATAAGATTGTTATTTCCATCTGCTGATCTTAATTCAGAGATGAAACAGAAACAAGGCCATTTAATTTGGGTGCTTTTCTCTTAGAGGCACCTTGGATGCCCTTTCGGAAGACAGAAGTATTTTAATTGTAGATTTGCCCTGACGTATTTAGTCAAGTACATTAAAGTTCAAATTGTGAAGTTCAATCTTTATGTATAACACAGATACACATCGTGCAGTTTTGTTGTAGCTAAGTAAACCACATGTTGAAGTAATTTATATAAATAAATGTATGTTACAAAGTTTAGTAGTTACCATTTGTATACTTAAGATAATTCATATGAGTTGTTACATGTACTTTTTAAGTTACATAACATACAAAAAAATTACTGATTTAAATAGCAATTTTAAAAATAAAGCATATATGTGGACACTTGCCTCTTAATTTCTTTAAGTAAAAACAATCTTTATTGGTCAGTTATTATATGTGACTAAGTCATCCTTCTTAGACTTCTTCAGAACTTAAAGCTTATATCACAGTTGACCATATGGTATATATATATAAATGTTAATAGTTTTTTTTATTATTGTTCACAAGGGGTTTTCTTACAGAATTTTTTCTGGGGGGGGGGGGGGCTACTTGATGATAAATGTGGCACAGGGCATTTGAGTGCTGAAGGTGCAGTATGTTTATAAACATTGATATGGTTGTATTCCACAAGGCTTTTTTACTAATACATGTGTCTCAAATGGCACACTTCTAAGCATGGGTGAAATTCTCAAAAAAAAGTAGAGGTACTGAGTTAAGTGAAGTGGACCTGCTTTTGAAAAAGAAAAAAAATCTATGTTTAAATAAAAAAAAAAATGACAAAGCAACTCAAATATGTCCCAGTACTAGTACTGCTCCCTCTACCCTGTGGAAAGTAAACTCCTGATTCAGAAATTTCATTAATAAAGAAATGTATTTCCTTTTTATTTCATGAAATAATGCCAGTCCTTTTTTTTTTTAAACTAGCTTCTCCACCAAGGTTTGTGTCTTTAGAACAGTTTATGAAAGCAGCTTCTGGAATATCGGACATGTTGCTGACTCATGAGATAGCTGTGAATGAAGATTTTGCTTTAGAGAAGAAAGAAACTACTGGAAAGAGGTTAGTTTTTGAAAAGGTGACATTTGTAGCAAGTTGTTACGTAGGAAGTTGTGAATGTGAATTGTATAAAGAGCTAAATGGAAAATTGAAAAGATGTACATGCTAGGACTTTAAACCAGTTGTGCCACTTCAGACTTTTTAATGTTCTATACATTTTTTACGTTCAGTATTTTCTCCATTTGCTTTTTCCAAAATAGTTATGTTCAACAGTATTAGGCCTAACTCAAATATTACACATGATGATACATTATAAAAAAACAAACAATTGTTAATAAGTATCATTCTAGTGTTCATGCAGAAATAGGTTAAGGGCTATTTACGGTAAGACTCCTGTACTGATAATATATATATTTCGAAATTTGATTGGTAGTTTGGCCACTATAAGTAAAACAATTCCAGAAACTATTATCCTCAAAAAATGAGTCCCCTAGTGGCACAGTGGTATGTTTCTGCAGACGTGTACCAGTACAAACCAGGTTTCAATACCCTTGGTGGGCAGAGCACAGATAATCTTATATGTAGCTTTGCGCTTAACAACAATAACAACTCAAAAAATGAAAGTACTTTACTTAATATGATTAATATGTTTGTGTGTTTATATATAAGATGAGAGTGTCATACAGCTACATAAATAGACAATTTTCAGTCAGTTTCTCCAAGGTATAGTCTACCAGTGGTAAGAGTTCTCTTTTCAATAGCTGATATAAATTTTTTGTTTTTTAGGGGTACTTTTCTGAAAAGTGTGTTAGCACTGCTAAGCCTTTTTTTTAAAATTTTATTCAGATATGATACAAATTTTGATATTTTTTATCACGTTTCTTGCACTTAACTGTAATTTCTCTTTCTGATTTTAAAAACGTTTATGACAAGATAGTTAGTGTTCTAACACACTGTTGTACTCATTTTCATGTTTTGATTATTGTTTTTGTATAAAAATAATTGCTTTATATCTGGTTAATGTTTTTTAATAGTAAAAGAAGGTAATATAAAGAACGTTCCAACATTTTGTGCAGTATTCTGATTGGCCCGGCATTGCCAGGTGGTTAGGGCGCTCGACTTTCAGTCTGCGGGTCGCTGGTTCAAATCCCCATCACACCAAACATGCTCACCCTTTCAGCTGTGGGGACATTATTATGTGATGGTCAATCCCACAATTCATTGGTAAAAGAGTAACCTAAGAGTTGGGGGTAGGTGGTGATGACTAGCTGCCTTCCCTCTAGTCTTACACTGCTAAATTAGGGACGGCTAGCGCAGATAGCCCTCGTGTAGCTTAGCGTGAAAGTCATAACAAACAAACAAGTATTCTGATTAAAAGTATTATTATTGAAGTGTAATAAAATCACAAGAATTAAAAAAGGCATTAATTTTTTTTTATGTAATAAGCCTCAGTGAATGGGAATTTGAGGTACACAAAGTTTAAACTTTCTATCACTGAATTACATTTTGCGAGTAAATTGTAAGATTTTATACAATATAAGTTAAATTCTCCAAAATGTAATTACTGTTACTAATATTGTAATTAATAATAGCAAACATTGTGATGTTTGAACTGCTATTTACATAATTAAATGCAACATTTGTGGTACCTGACATAAATGTTTTAATTAATTGCTGGTTGCATATAAGAATGGACCATCAAAAATGAAAATTGTTTTGCTGGTATTTTAAAAAAATGTATACGTAAAATTTGTACCAATGAAAAACTGAAATTAAAACAAAATTACCTGCATTTACCAAATTTGATTGGTAATTTGGTGACTAAAAGTAAAACAATTCCAGAAACTATTATTCACAGAAAGTGACTGTACTAAATATACTAAATTTTATATACCTTATTTTAAAATGGGTGTGAGTTATTAATTTATATTCCAGTGGCTCTGTCCTTTTGGATCTTGGTACTAGAAAGGTATTTCACGTAACTTTTTTTACTCTTTGGTAGATTAACAAAAAACATTCTGATCTAGAGATATCTGTACTTTATTTTTAATAGTAACCTACAATTATGTGTTGGTTGAAGTACAAAATGTTTCTTTTGTGTGGATGGCATTGTAATTATACCCAATTATATCAATTGCCCTTTAGGGTCGATGTGGTACTTTATTAATATTTATTTTGAGAGATTATCTTACTTTAAATACCCATTCAAATAGCTAGCAAAATGTTTTAAAACCTTTTTTTTTTTCCAGTGATGAAAATAGGTTTCCAAAATATTTAATGCTTTTTATGCTGTATTTACTTTCTCTGTTTGAGGTTCATACATGTAATTTTAGATTTGGTAGCACAACTATCTGGTCTGTTCTTATGTTTGAATTGTTGTTGTTGTAGTTACGTATAAATTAAGTACATGTGGTTAGAAGTTACAGTGTAATAATAAATGAACTAATGAATTTGGGCTCTTAAAAAGACTAGTTACTATTTTGTTATTCCAGCTTGAATTGAAGTACATGAGTTTCAGTAATATACATGTGTCTTGTTTCACAAAATCTGAAAACAAAGTCTAATACAGCTTTGTTTCTCCACGTATCAGGTGGTGATTGGTACCTTTTTTTTTTACCAAAGTATTCTCTATGATTATAATACACAAGTTAATGGATATTCTTTTTTATCCAAAGGACTTCTACAGTTCTCAGTGATTCATTAAGTCGTGGACGAAAATATTCATATATCTTAAAAGGAAATGAATTATACCATTTTTTTTAATTAACCTTTTTGATATTTTTCAGTATCTGTGTGGTTTTTTTAGGGAACAACTCTTGCAATTTTCAGTTGAGTTTCAGTAAAGATTTTAGACAAAACTCATGAGTGTTAGAAATATTTGCAAACCAAGAGGGGGGGATGTTGCTGCCACTTGATTAAGTTGTATTCAGAGACTTTGCAGTAAGATTATGGCTATATTGTGTAATATGCAATGTTAGTTTTCAAAGAAATTTACTGATATTTAGACTTGATAAAGGAAAAAATCAAGTGTACTGTTGTTGCCTTTGTGTGAAAACAATACAGTTTTGTGTGTCGAATACTAACCAAACTTGTTAAAATGTGTACACATTCAGTCACTTTCTTATACTTAACAAATGATGACTTTTCAACTTCTTATGTATTCCAGTTTTTGAGTTATGATTTATTGACCTTAGGAGTTACGTATATAAACCTAATTTATGTTTTATTTCTAGTCTCCAAGATCAAGTTAAGAAAATAGTACATCAAGCATTTTGGGATTTACTAGAGGAAGAACTAAAGGAAGATCCTTGTAATTACACCCAGGCTATGGTTTTGTTACATGATGTGAAAGAGGTAATCAGTTATCCTTTGTTGTGTAAGAACAAACAAATTATTGAGTTCGTAGATAACTGATACTAAGTAGAACTGGAGTTCTTGTCAGTTAAGAAATGCTTAATATGCATAATTAAAAATGTTAGTTTTCTGTTGCATTTCAAATGTCTATAGGAAGTTTTTGATTGGCTTAATTTATCAATTACATTTTTGTGGCATAATAGCAAAAACTGAAGTGTTTGTTACAATTTATGATACTTGAGATCATCTAATATTTGTTTAAAAGAGAGAGAGATAGTATTAGGTAGAAATATAAGTATTGCTAGTTAACTGGCAGTTAGTTTGAATGAGAGTATAAGAAACTGAATCCTTGCAAACTATCAAATAGATAGATAAAATTTTCCAATTGCTATGTTTTGAAACGCAGTAGTTGCAGTAGTGGCAAGAAATACACAAATTCTCAAAATACATCCCGAAACTTATAATGGCTGGAGACGGCTTAAATGGGTAATGAAGAAAAACTTTAATATAACAGCAAATGGTTTTAAGCCATCTCCAGCCATTATTAGTCTCAAAGTGGGTTCCTCGTCATCGAATCCCGAAACTTAGTTTGTGGCGATATATTTGTTAAAGTAAGAAATGGGAGTTGGGCGTGGTGCATTTTTTGTGTGATTATTTTTCACAATTAATTGTAGTGAATCAATGTGAAAGATTGTGTTAATACTAGATACATATTGTAAAAATGTTGCCTGAATTAGTATATTTTTATGTTTGAAACCCCTACCTGTGTATGACACATTCTTCACGTTTCATACATGTATGTGTGACTGTGTGTTGAGGAACCATCGGGTGATAGTGATGACTGGAGGGTGGTTTCAAAACTATAGTAACCATTGGTTTATTTATTTATTTCTAAATAGTAATAAAACTTGTTGTTTACAGTCCTCTCCATGTAGAGACATATCTTCGAGAATAGAATTGTGGGAAGGGAGATATTGTATACTAGAATTCTGAAGTATTAATTTCCATAAAGCTCATGTCTTATTTGTCCGCAAAAAATTTCTGAGAAATGTGTGACTTAAAGTACTTGCTGTAAGGAGTCTGGAAGTGCAGTATAAAAATAATGAATACAAACATAATATTTAATGACTTTATAAAGGATAAGTTATTAGAAAGAGGCAGCTTAAAAATTCCAAAAAACTAAATGTACTTGTTAATCATCATTATTGTCACAAGTTTCAGAATTGCAATTAATTTTTGCTGAATAAATAAATCTTTAAGTACATGTGTACATGAATTTATGAAAAAGTTATACTCTTTTAATATAATCAAGTGTATATTATAACTTTATGATAACAGGGATTGATGTCTTTACTGCTGCCTCAACACAATCGATTAAGGACCGAGATAGAGGAAGTCCTAGATGTGAACTTAATTAAACAACAAGCTGAGAAGGGAGTCCTTGATGTTCAGAAATATGCTCACTTTGTGTTGTCTGTGATGGCTCGTCTCTGTGCTCCAATCCGAGATCAGAGAATTCAGGAAATTATGACAATGACAGAAGTTTCATCTTTGTTCAAGTAAAAATATTATTTTGGTTGTTTTTATGCAAAATTATTGATGGATTGACAGAAGGTAAGATAAGTGTATTGTTGAAAGTAGAAATTATCAATATTATTTTTTATTCTGAAAATATAATAAAAAATGTATAAAACATTGAAGTTGATATTTTTAACGAATTATTAATCAGTATCAAATATTAAAAGTTTAGATTCAGAAAAATGTGCCTGTTGTTAAAACTTAATGGCTTTAATAATATTTTTCTTAGTAGAATACTGAAAACAAATCCGGACCAAAATCTAACCATATACACTGATTTTTTAGAGCGATCTTAGAAACTATTGATCTCATGAAACTAGACATGGCTAACTTCACAATCAAGCAGTTTAGACCTCACATTCAACAATGCTCTATAGATTATGAGCGGAAGAAATTTCAAGAATTTATGGAAAAACAGAAGGGTAAGAATTCAAAGTAATGTAACTCAGAATAATAACAAGTTTCAGAAGACATTTCCTTTTTTTTTGTATACCTCCCAGCAACTGAAAAAGTAGAAACATCCATTGAAAAATGCTAAAATTATCTTGACATTTGTTCTGAAATAAACAAGGATGATAAACATAAGATATCAAGTTTAACAAAAACAGTAAATAATTGAATAATCTGTTGATATAAAAAAAATTTTAATCAAAATAAGAAAAAGATTTTTTAGAAAAATATCTATAAGTTTGGCAAAATATAAGCATTAAAACGTTTTTAGTATATTAATTAGGATTTTTTTTAAATAAAAAAAATAACTTGTATAAATATTTGTGCAGAGTAAAAAGATTAAATTATGAAACAGGCACAAAAATGATATTGTAGTTAAATGAGAAGTATCTATTTTTGTTTTTGAACAACTGGAAAATAAATTAACATCAAGCACTCGTAGTGTTTTAGTAGAAAAATTCAACAATAACTGTTTGTCTACTTTTAAGTAAACAAATATATGTGTAGGATTTTATAATTGTATAATTTTCTCATTTACCTTTTGGTTTTTCAAATAATTTTATAATAAAGTGGCCATTTCTCTGCTGCTGTAACTGGACATTTTTTAATCATGTATGGCAAAATATATGTTGTCTACAAACGGTTTTTCTGTGTTGATCTATTCTTAATGTGCCCATGTGTTAAAGATGTTCTTTGATGTTTAAATTTATCACCTGGTGAGGTTTTGTTCTGTTTTTTGCTAATTTTTCTTAAATTTTACCAAATTTTTTGTTTTACTATTCTAGTTTTAATTTATATATTACTCTGTTTTTATTGCTTTTTTCAGTTTAAGAATAATCTGGATTCATATTAATATTTGACATCACAGTATAAAAGTGTTAAAATGTAATCAGAACAAACTAAAAAAAATTGTATTTTTTCTGATCCTGCAAGTTTTACATAATGTCATGATCTGTCATTGATCAATTGGTTGTCCTGTACCCCAATATGTCATCAAAATCTCCTTTTGTCTTGCTTTGTCATATTCCTCCTCCCCCCTCAAAATAAGTGACTACTAAGCATCTTTAAGGTTTAGCTTCAGAGCTGTATCATTATTAAATACTTTTTTTTTAGTTCTCATGTTTTATCTTTTTATTATTAAAATACAATTTTGGTTACAAAGCAGTGATGATAATCTTTCGTTTTGCAGCTGTCCTCTCTAGGTTTTAGTTATCCTTGCTGATATTTGTACATTTCTGTACCTATAGGTCTTTCCATATTTGCTTTTGCATTCAGCAGATATATCAAATATGAATGATGTGTTCTGCATTCATCTCACTGGAGAATAGATAAGATTGTAATTTTGCCATTTTTCCTCCTCATTTTCATCTTATTTGATAATCTTTGGTGTTCAAGCTGAGGAAGTTGTTTTGAGAGTTTACTGTATCCAGCCATAGAGATCCAGTATTGAGCCATCAAACGGTATTTTCTTTGCTCAAAGAGCTCATAAAGAGGACTCAGATTCTCCGACTTAGGTCCCAGATCACTACCAGTCTAAAGTTGTATCAAGAATTCAAATCATCAGTCCAGAATACTAATTGGATCTACTCCAACAGCTTTATAAGTCATATGGAGCTCGTTAAGGATATTTCATATTTCAGTTTTGTTTTTCCTTTCATGGGTTATACTTGTCTACCAAGTAAACTAGCAAATCAAGGGTCTAAGTACAGCTAGCTGGGAATTTTTAGAAGTGTCATTGGCTGCTGTACAGGTAAAGCAGGCTGCATTATCATATAATGACATATATTAAGATATAATTATGATATTAATGCGTGTTTAAAGTTAAAAATTGACATAAAAGGGGAAAATCTTCAATATCAGACATATATATAATTAAGACTAAAGTTAAAGTAATACAGAAATGGGAAGTTTTATTTTTAGGTGTTCAGTTTGTATGTAATATTTGTATTTGTGACCATTCAGAATTATGTGTGGATGGCTTGGAGTTCACTCGACAGTGGTTGAGGAGGAGCTTTACAAAGCTGCAACATGAGTCACCTGCAGAGTTTGGTGATAAAGCAGGTGCTAGCAAAGTTCCTGTTTCATCAGAGCACAATGTGTTAATAACAGCCTACATTGAGCTGCTTGAGTGGGATGATAACAATGTCTTTCCTGAAGTAAGTGAATATTTTGATTCAAATGTCAATTTTTAGCTTTTGTTACTTTGCAAACAGCACAGTACATAATTGTATGTAAACTAAAATACATTTTTGAACAGTGAAAATAAATAAAATATACTTTAAAACCAAACAAGCTTCCATCATATAAGAATTATACGTTAAAAAAGCTACATTAAACATAGAAGTAATGAAGAGTTAAGTCTTAACTATTAGCTTTTAATCTTCTTCAGAAAAGAGTTTAACTCTCAGAAATGGAAAACAAATGACCACATGAATTTTGGGTGCTTGAACAAAATTACATTTCACATAGCAGGGATGGGGAGGAACTGTAACTAAATATCCTGTAAAGAAGGTCTTTTCAGTAACAACTGTTTGTTTCAGTGCAGTACAGTGTATAAAGAACGATTATATTTATTTAAAGGCTCTAAACCTCTAATATCGTAGCTTTTTTACCACTTTTCAGAAATCTGATCTGATTTTCTTGTATGCATTTAATAACATTTTCTTAATGATCGAGAGAAATATTAACATCGATATTATAATTTGCAAATTTCCTTCTTACATTGGTAGTTTAGCCATTACATGTATATTGATAGAAATGTCATAAAATATTCTAAAGTTTGCTCCTCTGCTTTTTTCTCCATGAAACTTGTTTCACAAAAGTTCTAATTTGTTATTACTTACTTGTGTCATCTGATATAAAACTAACTGTGTGGTTTACCTGATACGCTTAGCTGAATGTGTGTGTGTGTATACATAACTATATATATTACAGGTTTTGTATCTTGTCTGAAACTTCTGTGATGATTGTTATATTTTGAATTGCATTATAGTAATGATCTTATTTTCAACATTTGTATTTGAAATCTTTAAATATATGAATTTTTTTCTTCCATATTGAACTTTCCAAAAGTTATCCCGAAGTAAAAGTTGCGTATGAAACAATATTATCTTTTTTTGTTTTAAATGTGCATTTAAAAGGGATTATAGAAAATTGGGAAATTACCACTGCAATTCCTTTTTTTACTGTTCATTAAGACTTGAGTGGCTGTTATGAATACCTGTAAGAAAACAGTCACAAAAGAAAATAATTCTATAAATGTTAACAATCATTTTGCAGTTCAATTATTGTATTAAGTAATATATATATATATATATATATACACAAATTAAGAAAATTACATTATTATAAGTTTCCTTGTTCTATATAAAAAAACAAAACTAAAACTGTTAAATGAAACACATCAGGTTAATATTTCAAATTCTGATATACTTGATGACCCTTCAATTATTATTATTATTATTCACTATTTGAATAAAAGTTATTGAACAATTGTTTGGACATTCCTGGTCAGACAAGAATATTGAAGAAAAAAAAATTGTTTTATTAGCTTATCACATAATGGCTATGAAGTTCTTCCAACCTTGGTTTGGTGCTTTTAGTTTTCTTGCCAATCTCTTGCTAGCTTTAAAAAGGCTTATTGGCCTGTTTATTAACCTATTTATATTCAGAAAGGGCATCAAGTTTTGGAGAAATTTAAATTTTCACACCAACTACTTACTGAAATATTTTGTATTCTACAAGTTGACCTGCTTACTCCATAAAGTTACCTGATTGCCTTCTTCAGTGAGGATTTAATGTCAGCTGCTTGTATTATCAGTTTATCATATCTCTTTAGCAAAAAGCTATTACTAGACAAACAGTATTTAGTGTTCTTTTCTTCTAGTCTGTATCTTCTCATACTTTTCCTCCTTAATCTTTGTATCATTTTCTTCTTATGCACCATCTGTTCCAGTTACTAATGCTTAAAACTACAAACTTTCTAACATTAATTAATCCTCTCAAGTGACTTCAGAGGCTACTGACACCAACAACAAGTTGAAGGTGAAAGATTGGGCTTTGGTGTTCTTGAATGGTTTAATCCTATTTTTTGGTTTTATTAGTAAAAGTGAAAGAACTTCAGTACGTCGTCTCTTCCCTTGTACAAGAAAACAAATCGGTACAAACCAGTCATTTCTGTCTCTCAAACTATATCGGTTCACCACTTGTATTACCACTGTACAGATTGGGTTTCTTTTAAGCTGTTCCCTTGTGTTGTGTGTTTGATTAGTTCGTCATTCAAATAGTTACTTAAATCTACTGTTTTCTTCAAATCTGTACAGCTAACTTTTCAACTGTTTGTCTTCATTCCTGGTTATATACTGTTTTCTATTTTTAGCTCTACTTGTTAGTTCTAACACTTGTTTTCTGTTTTCTTTGTAGTACTCTCTTGAAAATACCATTTTTGTTTTTTGTACCTTCTTTATCATTGTTTGGTATGAGAATGAAGAGCAGACACATAAACTTAAAATTGCCATCAAATTAATTATGAAAATATTAATATGTAAGTATAAAGAAATTTTATTAACGAACTTGATAGATATGACACTCAAAACCTTTATTTTTTCATGTGAAGTTTTATGCACTGTACATTGTTTTTCAAACTGATGAGATAATGTTTAATGCAGATTAGGGAAAACATTTTTTTGCATCTTGCAAACACTAAAATTTGTGATATGCATGATACTTGATGAATTAGTTGTTTATATGTTTTGGAAATTTTATTCCAACAATATGTAATCCAAAAATTACGTTTTAGACTGTTATTGTTTGTGTTTTTTCTTATTACAATAGGCACGCTTAGCATTTAAAAATGAAATTTTTTCTGTAATGTTTTTAGTTTTAATGTATGCCATCATCTTCAAATCATTACTTTTAAAACATTTTAATTGGATTAGACAACATGTATTTCAAAATAATTATTTATAATTTTTAGAAGTACCAAAGTGATTTGAAACTGCACGTTTTTTTTTTTCTCCTTAAAGTCCTTGGTTATGGACAAATCTAGATTCTTGACTATTAGAGGCCAGGTGACCATGGCAACACTGGTGGCTTCTGTGCTTTTAGTAACTTATAGTGTTATTGGTAGTCCTGTTCAGGATGTCAATGACTTTAAGGAACACCTGAAGGAAAATGTTATGATATTGATGGAGGAATGTTCTCAGTGCAGGTCTGATTTTCAGGTTTTGTTTTATTTATATGAACACTTCCAAACCAGATATGTGATGATAATTTACAGATTTGTTTGGTAGAAGTTACCTATTTAATTTTCATCCATATTAAACTTTAAAGTTTGTAGTGCCAACATACCACTCTGACCTCTATTTATGTCAAGCTTTACATAACATTTTCTAACTTAACAGTTTTGTGTTATGAAAATGTTTCTTTAGAAGTAATAATATCATTTTAATCAACATAAAACAGTCGTTAATTGGCATTGTTAGATTCCAATAGTGTATATCATATAATTTTAACTGAAAAGGTTTTAGTATTAAATTTTTTGTACAAAGATTTGAAAAAAAAAAGGCATTTGTCTAAAATAAACTGTTTTGGTTTCTACATGTATTGCCACCAATACAAAGTTCTAGTTTAATATTTAGTGAGGAACTTTCTGAACTGAATAATTAATTCAAAACACAACAGCAGCAACTTTTACAGTACTCAACTTCTTATTTTAATAATTGCAACATTTGGATCCATAGTATCAAGCCATTATCAGGTAAGAATTACGTTCAAAATGCAAGTCTAACCCTACGATGATAATATTGGTCAGAACATTGTAATTATTAAAATGAGAACTTGACGACTGTAAAAATTGTTGCTATTGTATTTTGAATTAAATGATCCAGTTTTATTTAATGCTATGGAAATACTTTCTTATATTGAATATTATTTTATAAAAAATTTATCTTTTCTCAAAACAAGTAGATAAAATTATTTTATTTTCTCTCCCCTCCCCCACAAAAGAGTACAAATAATATATTTAGATGTATTACTTTTCATCATTTATAGTGTTTTATTCTGTGTTTTTGCAAATTACAGTGAAAGTGAACTTTTTTCTAAGCTGGAAGGTGTTGCCATTTACGTTATCCAAGAGTGCCAGAAGTTTCTCATAAAACATGACTTTAAACCCCTCACTGGTGATCAGGAAGACAGCTTAAAAATTCAAATCCGTAACATCTCATCAGCAAACCACAGGGTTCGAATTATTGTCAGTAAGTCAATATTAAATCCTGTATGAATATTATTCTGTCCAGAAATTTATATAGCTTATGTATTTGAGCATTTAAGCATCATTACTTCAGTGTCATGAAACTTAAGAATAGAGTTAAATAGAAAAAAATTAAGTAAAATTATTCAGCTCAGTTAAACATGTAGAAATTATGGTTACCAGTGGCCAACCATGTTCAAGGCTTAATGATTTGTATTGCTTATTAAGCAGGTGCAGTTAAATTTTACTTGGGGGAGAAAAAAACTTTGAGAATGCCCATTGGATGTATCAGTCAGTGAAAAGACAACTGTATGAAATTTTCATTGTGCTAGCTAAGCAATGCAGCAAAGCTTGCTTGTTCAAATATGTAATAGCAAGTTGTTCCTGGAAGAGTCAAAGATAAAAGTTTTATTATTTATGATCTTAATTATATATGATTTAACAGATGCAAGTACACACACTGGAAAAAATACACACATATTTTGTTTACATCCTTTGAAGTGCATTCACATATGGATTTAGATAGTAAGGTGCATGCACATTTTAAGGACAGACAAAAACTGAGTATTATTATAATAGATAGCCAGCTTCCTGATGGCTTATAATGATAAAATTTGGGTTTTGTTACTCATAGTGGACACTGCACAGATAGCTCATTTGTGTAGCTTTGCACTTAACAACAAACATTAAATATAAGCATACTAATTAAGAATACATACATGAATTTTTACTTTTTTTCACTTTTTAAGATTTCTGTCTGTCAGAAACAGCCTTATGTTGAACTGTTCTCTTTCAAAAATAATGTGGGGCCTAATTTCACCACTCAAGAATTTTTGATGGAGCTATTCACAATTCAACATGGGGTATTAATTCTACCACCCACAGAATATTTGATGGAGCTACTTACAATTCGAGATATTGCCTTTGTCAAATAACTTGTTAATTATAAACAGGATATGTAAATATATTATTAGATAGTATGAACCTCAACCTAGTCTTAGAAATATTAATGTATTTATTAATAAACTAGTCTCTTGATGGGTATGAACCTACAAATAACTTTTATGGGCACATTCATTTATTGAATAATTATTATTCTCAGTTTGTAATTACTAATTAATATTAATTTTGCTTATTTCGGTTTATTCAGTCAAGACTTTTAATTGGTTGCAACACCAAGTAAAAACAGAAAATTATCTTCTATATAGTATTTTAACAAAAAAAGGAATTTGATAGCTAAAACTATGAAAGGATGGTTATCCTAATCGTTATCAAGAAATAATGCCAACTTTATTTTTTTTAAGATTTCCAATTGTCGAAAACAGTCTGTTATGTTTAACTGTCCAAAAGTTTTTGTTTTTATTCAGTTCTAACACCTTTCCACATTTTGTTTTAATTTTCTATTATTAGAAAATAAATAATTTTATTTAAAATATGTGTTTCAAGTGTTGCATTATTTGCTTTTGGTAAGCGGTAAGTCTTGTACAGTGATATAGTAAGGGTCCAATGAAATTACAGTATGTAACCTAACAATTGATCATATACTTGATCATAACTCCTGGGTAATTTTGGAATGGAAACCTTCTATAGAAAGTTGCATATAGTGTTTACGAACTAATTCACTTTTTACTGTTACTGTTACAATGAAATAATACTATGGTTTTCGTATGATAATTTTTGTTTGATTTTCTGCTATATTTTACGAAATGAACCACAGCATTCACTACATTTGTTGATAATTGATTATTTCATGTAATTTTCCCATTTACTGAAAATATCCTTGTTTATAGAGCATAATTTCAAAAAAGTACAAATTAGGTATGATTTACAATTATATCAGTTTATAATTACTGCTGTATGTTAGGTATGTGAGTACAGGCAGTCTAATATTTCCAAAAACTTAAAAGACATACATTGTAAACTCCTTTGTAAATATCATCTTAACTAATATAAAGAAGATAGAGATGGTTACTTTTTGCCAAACCAAAGGGGATATAGCAAGGTATAGTTTCTAATGGTGAGCCTGTTAAATTATTTTTTTCTTATCTGAATGCTGACAACTTAATATTTCATTGTTGTCATGTAACTGATGATCTTTGTCAGAATCAGAGAGAACTGATACCACTATAAAAGAAGGTGGTCCAAAATTATCTTTCCTATATTAACATTTAATAATTAACTAACTAAAGAAATACAACCATGAAGTTTTCAACATCTTGTAGCACAACTCAAACATGCCATGTTAGTAGACTTCTACGTTTGCACCATTATTGACTCTCAGCACATCTAACTGATATATTTGATTTCAGTCCATGTTTGCTGCAGCATTTTCACAGTTACAGTGGCGATGGCATCTGTTATCCTGGTCTTTAGCTCCATGATGATTGCCATAGGTATGAGATACACAATGTCCTTAACATACCCCCAAAGAAAGAAGTCTCATGGAGTGATATCTGGCAAACACGGAGGCTACTGAATTAGCCCACCCCAAACAATCCATTGCATTGAGCCTTTTCTTGCACATTTGCCATTTTATGAGGTAATACTACTCACTGGAGCGAAAAAAAAAACTTATGACAATAAAAACTGTTTGAGTTGGGATACAAGATGTTGAAAACTGCATGGTTGTATTTCTTTAGTTATTTAATTATTAAATCTTAAAATAGAAAAGACGATGTTGGAGCACCCTATATATGGACTTTGTTTATTTAATCATTAGTGAGTCAGCATATTTGAATAATAAGGTGTTTATATATGTATTATGTATGGAATGTCCAGAAATTTATAATTTGTTTATATTTTCTATTCTATAATAATACCCTTTTTTAAAATACCCAGAACTTTATGTTAATATAATACTAAATTGACAAACAGTGATTTATAAGTGTAATGAAGTGTTTTACTCTTGAGGGGGGGACATACTACATGTTTCGACATAATATTGATCTGTCTTATTCGGGTATGATATGAAACAAACAGACCAATGTTATGTCAAACATGTAGTATTTTTCCCCCCAAAATAAATCACTTCATTGTGCTTATAAATCATTGTTCATAGTTTAAAGCGTAGACTGAAGTACAAGTTTTCTGTTCTAATTACTGACATCAGGTGGCTTTGTTCTTTTCTGTACTTAAAAACTTCTTTAAGATTAGCAGCTGACATTACTTTTATGGAAAACCCTACATTTTAATATTTTTTTGTGTTTTAGGAGACAGAATCTTTCAGTTTGTGAAAGATGTGATTTCTTCTTCAACAGCCAATCCTGTTCAGGTTCCCATTGGTTTGTCTATTCTTAAAACAGAACTGACAAGCATTGCTGGTCAGTTTCTGAAAATTGTCACATACAATCGTGCTGTGTTTGGAGACTACTACAGTGAAATCATCAAGGAATTTGCCGTGTAAAACCTGGAGATGATGTAAAAGATACATGAATATATAGTCAAGTTTGGACATTGGCCATAGTTTAAGAAACACGCATAATGTAGAGTGGTCAAGAAAAACTCCGAAAAATAACGGTAACAGTGATTAGTTGTTGTTATGTGCCTTTGAGGGTTAAAAAAAATATATACTTTTTGTTATCAAGTATACCGAACAAACAAATTGTAGTAGTATTGAAATGTGAGTTATCTGTGTGAAAGAGTTATTTACACAAAAAGTATAGATTTTCTATATATCTCGTATCACGCATTTTGAAATATCTCTGAAGATGTTATGTTTATGTTGTAAATGTTAGCTGCGTATTATACCTTTATTGTTTGTCTGGGTGGGGTTATGCTTTTATTAACAGTTCACCAAAAGTAATTTATTTCTTCTGATTTTGGTGATATTTATAAGTTTGTATAGTAACTTACTATACATCAAAGTTAAATTAATTAAAATATTGGTTCACATTAACACCCAGTCTACAAGTCGTGAGACATGTTTTGATGGGTTGGATCCCACATAAAGCTTTCCAGTACTTTCTTCTTTTTTTAAGTTCTGAATAGAAATTTAAACTCCTTGAAATACTTGGAATCTGAACATCCCACCAGCATGGCCAAATTCACACTATATTTCAGGTTACGGGGGAGTAAAACCCATACCACAATCTCAAAATCCTACACTAAACACAATAGTGGCTGCACGTAGCGGGCCATGTAGGATTAGGTTCTTCAGCTCTATATCTGTATTATCTGCGTGTTTTGAGAGTTCTATTGATAGAGATGGCCTGAAAAAGGATTAATGAAGCATACTTGCAGCTTCAAAGTGGCTAAGTGCAGTACCTGCCTGAATATGAAAACTTCTATTAATTCGTGAAAGACGAACACAATTCAGCCGACCCCTTAAATTCCACATCTTTCTTGCCAAACATTATTGAGAGATGAGTTTATTTAGCAGTAAAGTGTGTTTTTTTAGCATAAAAGATCAAACTCTTTATCTGAGCACATTGTTTTTATTTATAACTTGAATACCAAAAACTATGACATCAACTTGTATCCCACCAAATCCCCTGAACTTATTTAGTTTCATAGTCTCGCAGACTGGGTGTTAAAGGGAACAGACATGAAGTAAACTGTTACTTTCCTGTCACCACAAGCTCCAACAACAACAACTATTCAAATAGCTAGAAACAATACAGTAAAGTGTCAAAGATGTAAGTAACTGTACGATTCCAACATATTTTTCGGAAGTACAAGTTTCATTTGTAATAATATATTCTCAAAGAAATTAGTTACAAAATTATTTTTCCAAGAATGCAGTTGTGTCAAGGACTTCAGTTAAAATATAAACTGCAGAAATATAAGGTGGTTAATTTTTACTCTTTTTCGGATGCATGCTAAAATGTCTGTGTTAGCACTAGATAAAAAAATTTTTTTTTTAAATCAAAATAATATTTCAGAAGAAATGTCATATTAAAAGCATTCTTCACAAAAAAAAATATATGTTTAAAATAATTCAAAAATTCACTCTTACCAACAAAATATAAATAACAGCATGAAATATCGGTGTAGTTCATGAATTAGTTGCAGTTAAAAATTTAAATAACAATTTGATTTGCCAGAATACAAATTTAGAATTCTTAAGATATACTTGTGCTTGGGTAATAGGGTTTCATAACTTGTTTATCATGTAATTTTTTTATTTCTTCATAATGGACTAGGGTAATATATCTGACATGTTATTGTTTTCTTTTGTGTTTATTTATACTCTTGCTCCTTGTTTCTGAATGACACTTTAGACTTTAAGCCAGGTCTTCTGAAGAACTGTGCCAAGAGCTCAAAAAGTTGTATTTAAAAACAAGAGACAGAAGCCTGTAAAAGGACACTTTTAAAATTGTTTTATTTTGTATTTTAGAACTTAGAAAAATGTATTATTTCTTAATTAGCAGAAAACTAGCTTTTATGTAAGTATCGTTACCGACAAAAAAAAAGTCTTATTAAAAGCATTTCTTAATAGTACTGTATTATCGGACTTCTTTTGATTGTTACGTAACAGAACATACTTTGTATAGAAGCATATGCTAATATATTAGTAAATTGAAAAACAACGATTTATAAACATAATAAAGTGGTTTATATTTGGGAAATGTACAACATATTTCGACAGAACATTGATTTAAAGAAGAACAATAACGATAATACATATCTAGAACTTAAAACAGATACTAATTCATTTATGAGTGATTTTGTGAACAGCGAGTATCCAACGGATGAAGGAAACTTTAAAGATAAGTTAAATCATTAACAGATATGTTTTGTTTTGAAAATCTAAGCCCAAGATGAATTTCACACGTGATGCTAACGGTCCAATTAAGGGACGTAGTTTTACTGCTTGTTTTTTTTTTACGAAATAAAGTCTAAAGTCGGGATTAAATTACTATGGAAGTAGTTGTGTTACTCATCAACATTGATCAAATGTTATTGTGGACCATGCTGGTTGGCTGGTAGCATTTAACAATGGGCATTCAAAGGCATGAAACGTCTGCCGTACATGTACAGTCTTGTGTGGTTTATGTACAGTGGCGACCTCTGGTAATTTGAATGTTTGTCTAGAAGCTCAAAGAAAAAGTGAAGCACTTTATTGGCGCCAAATTCTTGACTGCACCTTAAATGCAACTTTGGACTCAAGGGATGTCAGAGGGAAAAAGGAAGGAGTTGGTCAACATGGCTGTGGCAATGTTCTTGCTGTAGTTGAACTATTGAGTAAATACGATCCGGTTTTGGAAGATCTTCTCAAGAAACCAAAAGGTTCAGTAACCGACTTAAACTTTACCATTTAATACGAAGTAACTGTACCACAGCCTCAGTGCATTGTGAAAGACGTGGTGAAATAAAGGAGGCACAATTTTTCTCACTAATCTGACACTACTCAAGACGTGGCCAAAGTTAATCAGCTAAGCCTTGTATGATACTAAGTTGTAGTTAGGTAAGTAACAATAATCACCAATGAAGACGGTGTAAAACCGATAGAAATAAATATAAGTGAATTTTTGTGTTTCAATGAAGTATGCAGCATAATGTGAAAGAAATGGAGGCACACATTCTACAGTGATTAGAAAAAAAAAATCTTGACATGTCAAAGTTATGTGACTAAAGGTACGATGGAGCGGCTAATATATTACTGGTGCTTACACAGGACTTAAAGATCGGATACTGGAAAAATTTCCAAGTGTCAAATGTGGTTACTGTGCCTCTCACAGTTCGATAAAACCAATTACAGAAAGTACAACCTTTTCTTTTAAACTTGTTCATAAACTTTTTTCAGACAAAGCACAAAAAATGATAAACAACTTTATCAAAATTCGGCGGGTCTAACGTAACACTGAAAAACTATCCTACGAGTTTACCATTACGACATAATTGTTCGATGGCATTACGTTATAGGTATACTGATATCATAAAGTGTTCGTCAGATAGCATTCTGTTCAGTAATAACCCAAGGAACGCAACGAAGCTGGAAGCTTGCTCGAACATTTACAGTTATTCCAAATAGTGTTTCTTATTGTGCTTCTATCCAGAATCCTGCTTTTTGTTGACACTTTCTCGAAATTTCTTCAACAAAAGCCTCAGGAGCTGAATAAAACGAGCGATTACTTGAAAATGCTTACAATGAGATTGCTAAGTTCAGAAATGTAATTCAGTGAAATGAAATTTTTGGCGGTTACCATGGATGAGTTTTAAGGAGCTGAAACTAAGTTTTTGGAAGAACGAGTGCCGGAAGTTAAACGCAATTTTGAAGAACTTTGTATGGACCAAAGTTTAACACATTCAGGGCTTGGTTTTAAAATAAACGTGTAATACCAAAGTTTCGAAATAATTTTATTCAAACAGTAGTTTGGTTAGTGATTGTGTATTTGTATGAATGCAGGGCTGGGTGTGACCTAGTTGTTGGCGCGCTTGACAATGGATTGGTAGGATCAAGGTTTGAGCAGCGAAATATGTTAACCCACTATACGGTTAAGGATAACCATGTAAGCGGTGGTTTTCTTGTAAGGATAGTTAACCGTGAAACAGGAGGGTCTCTGATTTGGCCGTTTAGCCTCAAGTGCCCTATAAAGTGTTGTCCAAGTTAAAATACTTGTACCAATTTACTGTTGTCTATGCGGTAAGGCTTTTTTTTTTTATAAACATTTATTTGTGAATTTGTTTTCAGGGTTGTTTTAAAAACGTGTGAAATATTTTTGTAATAATCTTTCATGTGCAGTTTATAACTTTTGTGTATCATCCTGGGCCCGGCATGGCTAGGTGGTTAGGACGCTTGACTCTCATTCTGCTGGTCGCGAGTTCGAATCCCCGTCCCATCAGACATGCTCGCTCTTTCAGCCGTGGGGGCGTTATAATGTGTCTATCAATCCCACTATTTGTTGGTAAAGGGTAGTCCAAGAGTTGGCGGTGGGTGGTGAGGACTAGCTGCCTTCCCTCTAGTCTTTCACTGTTAAATTAGGGACAGCTAACGCAGATAGCCCTCGTGTAGCTTTGCGCAAAATTCAAACCAAACCCCCGCAGTGCCCTCGCGAACCCGTTTGAGAAACGCTATGTTCTTATAATTTACATTTTTAAAAGAGTATCAAATGAAGCCTAAGAAAAAACAATAAAAACTGACTTTTCGAAATATACATTTTTTTATTGATTTAAAATGGTTTTTAGAATAAATTAGCAACTATCATAATTGAAATTGATTAAGTCTCAGTATTATATATTTTTGGTAATGATTTCTTCATGACTTCATACCGGTTTTTTTAACTTTCTCGTAACTTTTATATATATATACAATGTATATATATATATTAGAATAAATACTTGCGCTACGATGAGGGGTTCAAAGGCCCTCTCATTATTCAAAAAGTCACCAATATACTGATTAAGATCTTCCATTATCCCCAATCACTTCTATAGCTACTCCATGTAAGTCAGTACCCGAAGAAAAACAAACAAAATACATTAGGACACCCGCTCATTGCACGTGTGCCGAGTTTGGTCCCGCTAGTTAGGAGTAGGAGTATTAACATAGTTTAAAAAATGGCGCCCCTATATCCAACTAGGGACCAGAAACACAAAATCCTATCCCTTATTCGAAATCAGCAGCCTTGCAAATCGAGTTCTAGACCCCATCATGACTGAGTGACCTTCTGGTCGCGTTTTAGTCTGCCTTGGTTCAAAAATTGTGATATAGTAACTGTTTTAACTCTTGAGCATCATAATTAATATCTCCCGAGTTCAACAGGTAACGTATATAAGAACCGACATTGACAAAAGCATGTATTTATTAAGTCATAGCGCCCGAGTTGTGAATACAAGGGACAACGGTTCGCCTCCCTTTGCTACAAAAACGCTCTTCGCTCTTTTGGGTCAGAGGATTCACTAAAAGAGTAACAATCAAATTCCACTTTTCAATCAGACAAAAATAACCCAAAAGTTGGCAATGGGTTTTCTTGACTAGCTATCTTCTCTCTAACCTATCAATTCAAAATTGGGGACGGTTATGCGCAGATTCGAGTTTTAGCAACCATGCAAACCGACGTTTAGATCCTTCACCATCTTTGGATGATCTATTAATTCAAAATCAGGACCACTTATGCACAGATGGCTCCTTTTTTGAAAACTCTAAGCAAACGTTAATTGCATACAAGAGCGCAGACATTTTTTTTTATCGCAGCGCTATTAATCACTGTTAATATAAACAAACAAAAGACCGCTCAAAGTAAAATAGTAATACTGTGACCGTAAAGCCACCAGTAATATTAAAGTACTCTGTTTGAAGTAACCTTGGTTCTCAGATTTGTGGAACACAAGTAGATAGTATTAGTTTCCTCTACAGGCTATATATACTATATTAGTTTCCTCTACTAGTATTAGTTTCCCCCCAGTAACTCAGCGGCAAGTCTGGAGTCTTATAACGTTAAAAACCTAGTTTTGATACCCGTGGTGATTACAGCACAGATAGCCTAATATGTAGCTTTGTGTTTAACAAGAAATAAATCCTCTACAGGCAGAAAACGAATTTCTGTTGCGTTAGCAGTAGAAGCGATAATTCTGTGCTGTTCGATTGATTAACTTACACGCTAGAGGAAAATGGCATAGGTTTTCCTCTTTCCAATTATGAAGTCAAGTTGCATTAAACTTGTCAGTGCGTAGTCCAGGTAGATTTGCGCCGTCCGTAATTGCGAATTACTGATAACAGGGAGGCAACAGAGCGACAGCAACAGTTTTTATTTATACATTATCATTGTTAATCAATTATTAATATATTTTTCCTTTTTAAAATCAGGTATCCAACGATGATAAGAAGATTTTAATGTTATTACCTCCACTTCTATTCTTGGCATCCAATAGTCTCCTCAAGGATCTTTTAATAATAACACCCATTTCAATTTAAGTAACATCTGTCCTTTCTATTTCGGGTTTGGTGGTTAGGGCATTCGACTCGCAAGTCCCATTCCCGAACATGCTCATCTTTTCAGCCGTAGGGGCGTTATAAAGTGACGGTCAATCCCACTATTCGTTGGCAAAGAGTAACCCAAGAGTTGTCGGTGGGTGGTGTTAAATATATCACTTCAAAGTTAAGGACGGTTAGCGTATGTAGCCCTCGAGAAGCTTTGCACGAAATTTAAAACAAACAAAACCTTTCCTTATATACTTGCACCACTTCCATACTTCCACTCCAGTTGACCAGTGTACTCTGTGTTCCACCTTTTGCCTCGGTCTATGTGCTGTTTCACTGATGACATCGTTCGGATACCCTATTGGGTTGCCCTAAGGGTACACTTTACGACCAGGG